TACTCAATGGCTGGAAAAAGAAGCCAGCTCCTGAGAGGTGCTTTATCTTCCCTCACTCTTCTGAGAGCTGCAGGTGGGAGGGGCGGCTGATCAGCCACATTCCCAGGGGGCTGTGGTCCCGGCGCCTGGAGAGAGCTGGCCCAGCCACTGAATGCCTGACTCCTGAAGACCTCCAGGTGGAGGTGGCTGGTGGAGGGTGATCTGAGCAGTGTCTGCATTATCCCTGCACTAAGTGGTCTGAGCAAAGGCATGAGGGACCCAAGGTTACCAGGAAGTAACAAGGTAACTGGTGACCAGGTGGGCTCAACAACGAATCACATTGGGGAGTTTCCCTTCTGCACAACTTTCTGCCGAGCAGTGAGTTCTAGATTCCTGAGCGGTGCTCACCACCATCTCCACCAGCCCAGCTCTGCCTTTCGGCGCTACTGAGGTGGGGAGTGCCTTCAGGGAGCTCCTGATACAACTCTGCTTGTGGAATTCCCTGCGGCTTAGACTTCTGGTTGGCTGGGCTGCAGAGGGACTTTGGAGAACTGGCACGGGTGCCGGGCAGCCGGCAGAGCCAGGCCATTCTGGGAGAGCAATGCAGGAGTTGAGACCAGCCCACTCACTGCCCTAAGATGACACCCTTCCCCTTAGGGCCTTGCTTCAGTGCATCGCCACACCTCAGCAAGCCAGGGCCATGAATGCAGCAGAATACACGTCCTGAGACCTTGACACAGGTGACAGGTACCATGACAGGCAAGACCCACGAAGTCAGACCCTCCCCAGAGCTGTCTTAGGAAGCTTGGGTTGTTCCCCAATACCACTGGGACTGGGAGACTTAAACAACAGGCATTTACTCCTTGTCATTGTGGCAGCTGGGAAGCCCAAGGTCAAGGTGCCTACAGGCCAGGTGTCTGGTAAGAGCCCCTTCCTGGCTTACGGTGGCCGTGAGGGAGAGAGAGCATGCCCTGGTCTCCACCTCTTCTTACAAGGACACTAACCCCATCCTGCAGGCCCCACCCCCGTGACCTCTTCTAACCCCAGTCACCTCACAAAGGCCCCATCTCCAAATGCCATCACACTGGGGGGTATGGCTTCAACATGTAAACTGGCTTGGGGGAGGGGAGGACATGAACATTCTGTCCATGACAAGAGCCATGAACACTTTCAATCCAACAACCCCTCACTGCCCAACTGGTACAAGGACCTCCCAGAGAGATACAACACTGAGCTGGCGTGATGTCGTAAGTGCGGTGTGTTGGTGTGAATGAAGCATTATGGGAATGGGGGGGTCTGTGAGGGCCTCCCCTGAGGTGCCGCCAGGGCCCGATGGGAAGTGGGAACATTCCAGACAGAGCAGAAAGCTCGAGAATGCTGAACTGACTGCAGCGTGAGCCCCGTGGCGGGAGGGTCGGAGGTGAGGTAGGGGTGCGGCTAGAGCTGCGTGGTGTGGACGTGGTAGTGCCAGGGCTGCGGGCTCCTGGAGGGACTGGCGCTTCAGTCCCTCTGACTTTGCCTGGAGGATTGCTTGGAAGTAGGGAAACCAGCTAAGAGGCTGTTTTGATAAGGAAGGGAAGAATGTGGCCCTAAGCTGCAGCCGTGACCGTGAAGACAGGGTACAGGCGACCGGTCCAAGAGACTTCTAAGTCAGAAATGATTGTTTTAAAAACTCGGTGGTGAACTGAATGTTAAGAACAAAAAGGCGAGAACCAGGAGTGGCTGTGAGGCTCCAGGGTGGGGTGACTGGGCAAGTGGGCACTGTGATGAGTGGAGGAGCTCACAGGGTGGTAAGAGGAGGGATGGAACTGGCCTCTGGACGGCCTCGGTCAGGGGGAACCTGGGGGAGGTGCTGCTGGGAGAGGGGCCGGGTCGGCGAGGCGGAGCTCAGCGCGGGGACTGCCTCTGCCCCCCTGAGACGTGGTCGCAGGGACAGTGTGGGGACTGGGCAGGAGGAATCTGGTCCTGCTCGCTTCCCTGCACACCTCCTGTTTCTGGCATTTCCCTTTGGAGCACAATTATGTCCGTTTGTTCCAAGAAGATGCTGGTGTGGCCACTTGGCCATCTCAGTTGTTTTCATACCTAAGTTTCTAGTCCAGACTCCCATGGTTACAAGGGTCAGAGAACCACCTCGAACTTGCTTAAGAAAAATGGAGAAATTACTGGCTCATGAAGCTGAAAAGTCCAGGCTGCGGCTATCTTCGGACACATCTGGGTCCAGGAACAGAAGTGATTTCGTTGAGAATATCTCTCTGGCTCTCAGCCCTTTTTACCTGTATTTTTGAGGTGGCTGTGGGGGAGCAGGGGCAGATCTCCCAGGGCCAGATAAGCCTCCATGAGCACTTTGGTTTTTATTCTGAGTAGGATGGAAGTCGTGGGGGAATTCTGAGCAAGGCACGCTGTGATCTGACTTACATTCGAGCAGAAACACTCCAGCCAGGTGCTGAACACAGGTGGCAGCAGATCAAAGAGGGTCAGGCAGGCAGGGGTGGAAGCAGGGAGACCAATCAGGAAGACTGCACATTCCAGGGGAGCAAAGCCGTCCTTCAACACCTGCCTTTGCCTCCACACCCGTCCTGCAACCACCTCGTTGCTCATTCCCAGTCACAGCTAAGCACCTCCCCACGGTTCATATTGTCTCCAACCTCATCTCCCCTTGTTCTCTCTTGAACTCGCTCCAGCCACGCTCTGTGCACATCAGTCCACCTTCACTGCCGTCGTCAAGGACACCAGCAGGCCCACTGTGAGGTCTGTGTGTCCCCACATCCAGTGGCCAGTTCCCAGACCTTTTACTCGGCCATTTGCCAATGACTGCACTTGGCAGTCACTTACTCCCCTTTCCTAAATGTTCTCCTCGCCTCTGGGAAACCACTCTCTGCTCTACTCCCTCCCGGTCAATGGTGCCTTTCTGCCTCCCCTGCTGGTTTCACCTCCTCCCTCTGATCTCTAGGACGGCGTGCCCAGGGCCAGTCCTCGGACATCAGTGTGCCACCCCCTCACACTCAGGGAGGTCAGATGCCATCTATATGCTGACAACTCCTAAACGTATCTGTCCAGCCCAGAACTTTCCTGTCAGTGAACAGATCCGGGTACCTGCTCAGCATGTCCCAGTGAATATCAGGTGTTTCAAAGCTAACATCAAAACTGAGCTCCTGAGGTTGGCTCCCAAATGTGCTTCTCTCCTAGTTTCTTATCTCAGAGAATTAGTGACGCCATTATTTCAGTTGCCTGTGCTAAAACCCTTGGTACCATTTCTGACCTGCTGTTCTCTCACCCCTCTATCCGGCAACAGCCCATTCCCAGATCTTCAAAATTTATCCACTTTCAACATATATCCAGAATCTGACCATTTCTCACCACTTTCATTGCTACCATCCTGGTCCAAGCCATCGCGATCTCTGGACTGGGTTGTTGTGACAGCCTCCTCACTCGTCTCCCCACCTCTGCCCTTGCCCCCCCGTGACCCGTTCTCAGCACAGCAGCCCTTTAAAAGCGTGAGTCAGATGATGTTACTCCCTAAAGCTCTGCAGTGAAAGCCAAGCCTCCCAGGGACCTGTAAGACTCCCCAGGATCTGAGCCCCCGCAGCTGCCAGCTCTCTGACCTTCAGCCACGCCCTCACTGCTCACATCTCTGCAGCCACAGTGTTCTTTTTTATCCCTCTAAAACTATTCAAAATACTAAAGTTCAGTAAGATAGCCATTTACAAGATAAATATGTAACTGTTCATAGCTTTCCTAATTTTCCACAATAAGCAACCATAAAAAATATTTTTAAAGAGAGCCTACTTACATATATGGCAATAAAAGCTAGAAGATGCCTTTGAATAAATTTATCAAGAAATATACAAGGCCTGCCTCCATTGTGGCTAAGAGATCAGTTTTGGAGTAAACTGCATGGGTGTGAATCTCAGTTCCAATGTTTACTAGCTGGTGACCTTAGGGAAGTTTAACCTCTCTGTGTGTATATATTTGTAGAGGAAACTACTGAAAAAGTATAGCACATGTTATTAGCCCTTCTCTGGGTATTTAAGTTGCAGCCTACTTTGACGGGGCCAGCTTCCTAAATTGTAAGATGGAGCTGACAACACCTGCTCCTCAGAGTGTGAGAATAACTGAGAAAATGTCACATGTTCATGGAGCACGTATTCTGCCCACTGGAAAGTGCATAGCAAGAGTCGTTATAGTGGTGACATCTTTTTGTCAGCAAGTCTTCCCATGTCTGCCACATTCTCTCAGCCAGAGCACTGTAGGAGGAAAGCGCATCCTCAAAACCAGGTACCTGGCTTTATCTCGGACGTCACCGGAGGCTGCGCCAGCTCTTAAGAATCAAATGAGGTTCCTCTGAGTTTCACATTCCGCAGCCCAGCAAAGTGCTGACTTCTCAGGATTTGGGGGAAGAAATTCTTTCAATTCCTCAGGTTCCCCTCTGTGTCTAGAGATGTCACTTACAACTCTGCACCTCACTATGTTGACCCATATTTGAAACTTAACACTTCTATTTGTTGCCTGAAATAATCCTCTTTTGCAAAAGCATTAATGAACAAAATCTATTTCCCTGAAGATGTTATATTCCTCCTAAAGCAAGAACATTTTGTTGCATAGGCAGAGTGAGCAACTTCATTATCTATCTTAGATATTTTTGTTTTCTAAAGACTTCTTTGTGACAATGCAATGCTGGGAATGTCTTTCTCTGTCTTCTCCACAGTCACGCAGCTGCACCAGCACCTCTTTCCAGCCACTCCCACAAGACCCCCACCCATCTTCAGATTTCTCTCCCTTCCCAACACAAAGCAACGCCACGCCCTTTGGCTCCAATTAGGTGTGCATGAGGCCAAAGCCTTCTGCTTTAACCCGATCCTGCACCTGCCCTGGAGGAGGTGTGGAGATAGAAACAGCCTGTCACACGTGCCTAAAGCTATTTACTGACTTGTGGTCAAAACGCTAAGTGGTCTTTGTCATGTAGTTCTGTGGCCCTGTTCTTAAAGGAATTTGCCTTTGTCATGTTTGTTTTTATTCCAAAGGTGTCGGTCAGCCTAATGTATCTTGGTGGAAGAGAGGAGGATCTCTGGGTGACAATGTTTCCTTGCTTTTCAATGGATCCCTGTTGCAGAACGTTTCCCTCGGAAGTGAAGGAACCTACGTCTGCAGAGCCAGCAATGCACTTGGAAAGCCAGTGGCTGCGTCAACGCTCCGCTTTCTGGGTGAGCGTCAGTCTTGTGGTCAAAGCGCTAAGTGGTCTTTGTCATGTAGTTCTATGGCCCTGTTCCCTTCCCGTGCACAAGGGGGTGCCCAGTTTGTTGATTCTAGAGTCAGGGAGTAAACAAGAGGAACATTAAATGGTTCTAACTACTGCTGCTATGCCCACTTTCAAACAAGCGCTCAGTCTAACACTCAGTCTTACCAGTTCTTCTCTCAGAAGGTCGTGACATCCTTACCACCAAAGAACCTGCCCTGGGGTATATACGCTTTTCTGTCCGGAATCAAGACCCTTCATTTTCTGCCTCTGCATGGGCTTAACTCCTGACCTGACCGCCGTCAATAAGCAGGCTCTGAGTTCTGTTCAGTCAGTGTGGTTTCATGCCCTTATGATTCAACACGTGTGCGTGTGCCAGTGCCTCCCATCCCCTCCGGCCACCTGGACTCCTGTGTGGATCCTTCTCTGGTTCTCTCTGGCCTCCCCTTTCTCTTTCCCCACTGCTCGGTACCTGGATAAGTCCGGACACACCTTGCTCTCTGATTCTTTTCTTTTTTGTTCATAGTCCCTCAGCTGAACTGTGGGTCCCTTACTGGTAGAGACCGTGTCTGATGTGTCTTTTTCAGACCTGAAGACATAATATGAAGCACACAGTAGGTGCTCAATAAATATTCATCAATTGAGTCTTAAGATGCCTCAGTATTCTAATTTGGAGAAGGTCATCTCCATGTGTCTCTGGTTCGGGTGACAGGCCGGCTCCCACTGTCTGCCCGGCTCTCTGGGGCTCACTGAACTCTTGTTGCCAAGATGGGCTTTAAGTTCTCTGGCTTTTAGGACTCCATAAATAATACTTCCCTTCCCCACCAGAGCTTCAAACCAGTTGAGAGTTAATCACAGAAGTCGCCAGATGGACCTTAAAGATCTTTTATTATTCCCCTTTGTATCTTAAGCACCTGGCACAGGTGTGTTAAATAAGTGTTTCATAGGTGAATTAAATGAGCCATTGGCAAAACTGGTATGAGCTTATTGAACCCACTGCTGACCCACAGGGATGATGGAAAAGAACTTTCTCCGTCACTTTTCTTGCTGGTGGTTCAAGGAGCCCAGAGATGTGAATGGATGGGAAGGAACAGCGTAGGGGCCTGGAATAGTCGTCATGCGTGAAGCACGTTGGTGGTCATTAGCCTCTTTGGTATTTACAATAACACGGTGTTGTGGGTGGTAGTTTTTAATCCCGTTCCACAAATGAGGAAACCTGAGGCTCTTAGAAATTTGTTCTAGAGGCCAAACATGTGGTTTCTTTCAGTGTTCTGCATACTGCCCTTCGTGGGCTCTCAGTGTTCATCAGCGAGGCACCAGTGACCCTCCTGGGACCCTTCCCAAGTAGCCTCTGTGGTCTTCTAGGATCTTGGGTCTATGGAACTATGGCAGATTTTCATCAGATGGCTCGGCCAACGTGCCTCATTCCTGAGCACCTTCCTCATACTCTCTGGCGAGTGCCAGCCTTTGCCCCGCATCCCCAGGCCATGCAGGAGAGAGCACGGCTGTCCCAGTTCTGTCTGCACACCTCCTCTCAGAAGTCCCTCCAGCCCAGCAGCCCATGCCCTTGGTAGCTTGAGTGAGGAATCTAGAGTGTTGCACATCCACAGCGCCCAGCAGTCTTCCACCATCCTCCTGCTGTTCTGCATGAGCTTCCCGAAAACCTGCAGTCCTCACCACGGGGCCCCCTTACACGGCCCATTCTCCTGCTCCATAGGGGCGGAGCTCTGCCAGACCCAGATGCTTCCTCCAGCCCCTTGCGGAATTGTGGTGAATATACATTTTCCATTTTGTTAGTTAGGCTATGAAGTCTGAAACCTTGCAGACATGCCCTGTGTTAGCACAGTTAATAACCAGAACAAAAACCCTATAGTGTTTTTGTTCCACCCCCGAGCCCACACAGAGCTCTCAGATCTGGGTGAGCCTGGGCACCCCGGGCACTCTTTGGAAAGGTTTCTGTCCTAGTAGCTGTAGTCTTTTAAGAACACGCAAACTAGGGCAGAAATTAAGTAATTTCTAATTGGTAAACAAATGTTCTTTTTTCTTCCCCCTCAGGACAAAGATGGCCAGACAGTAAACTTGTATTTTCCAAGGACCATAAAAATCATACTCTGCAGGCATCCAGCCCTGGAAATGGTAGCAGCGATGCAATACGAAAACCCCTATCTCCAGGTCTGGGATTTTGTCTGTTGGGGGATTTGATGTTTGTAAGACATGTGCAAGGAGAAGTATTTACCTAAAAGACCCTCCATGTGTTGTACTTTGCAATAATTAAAATTCTTCCTAAGCCTTGGGCCAATGCTCTCCCATGCCCCTCAGCCTTCTGTGGTTCAATTTGTTCCTTCCATATTGAAATGTTTTTTAAACATTTTTACTCATGAGGAAGCCCGTGGAGCTCATACCCAAATATGCACCATCATTTGTGATGATACAGGTATTGATCTTCCCGTTTTGAGACCATTGCCAACTTGGTCATATCAATAGAGGAAGGATCTTCTGAGAATTCTGGAACCAATTCTTTCATTTTTTTCCTCCAACATAGTAACTTTGTTATATATCAGCACTTGATCAAGAAAACCTAATTTACATTTTTCAGGCTTGCAATACTGTTCGGGGGGCCAAGGGAAAGAAGTGGAGTTAAGAAAATCAGAAATGCTAGATTCACAAGAAACCAGTACTGATGGCCTCAGCTCCTTATAGCTCAAAAATGGGTAAATCATAGGACACACGGAAGCTACCAGTAGACCTCATGAGTTATTATGAATCTACTATATAGAAACAATGGTGACTACATCATTTCAAAAATATGAACAAGTGCTTCTCATTTGCAGAATATGTCCTACAGAATAAATCTCTGCCAATAGGAATTATAGGAACATAGTTCCTAGACTTCCACCTCCTGAGATGCAGGGGGAGCATAGAGGGGAAAACAGTGTTGAGCCACCAGTCAACAATCCATGTAATTTATGACATCATTATCCAGGCATATTTGGAGGATATTTGGAGGATATACTTCTCTTTCAGGCATTATTATACTCACTATTACCCATTCATTCAACATTTGTCTAAGCCTGTTTGGGCTGCTATAGACTGGGTGGCTTAACATCCAGAGACATTTATTTCTCATAGATCTAGAAGCTGAGAAGCCCAAGGTCAAGGCACCAGGTATCTGTTGAGTGCATGCTGCCCAGTTCATAGACAGCCAACTCTTGGCTGTGTCCTCAGCTGGCAGAAGGCGTGAAGAGCTCCTGGGGGGTCTCTTTTATAAGGACACTAATCCCATTCACGGGGGCTCCACCCTCATGACCTAATCACCTGTCAAAGGCCCCACCTCTTGAGCTCATCACATTGGATGTTGGGCCTGACATATGAATCTTGGAGGGACACAGCATCTCTAGCAGCATTCAGCAAGTATGTGCCCAGTACTCGCTCTTGCCAGGACCGGGGATGCAGACGTGACCAACCCCGAGAGAAGCTCAGCCTACAGAGGGAGGCAGTCGTGTAAACAGGTGCTGGAAGCAGGACAGGTACTGTGATAGGATGATGGCAGCATCAAGGAAGAGGCCCTGACTGTATGGAGAGGTCAACCAGGTTTTCATATAGGTCACGATGTTTGTTCCAGGAAGGTGAAGAACATTCCAGGCAGAGGAACCAGGATGTGCAAAGGCAGAGAGAAGTTCCCTATGCCATGGACTGTGAAGATCAAAGGAACTCCTCCAAATCGATGAATAAAAATGTTGGATCATGAGACTGAAACTGATGGTTAAAGCTGAAGCTTTGAAATATTTAAAAATTGTGTTTATCAGCACTACCTGCATTGTTCTATCACCTCCTATACACATGCGCACATGCGTGCACACACGTGTGTACACACTGTGAAATACAGCCCTTCAGTGGATCCTTACCTTAGCATTTCAAAGAGACTCATTTATTAATTTAACAAATCCTTGTTGAGTCCTTAAGATAGAACATGCCTAGTAGTGAACAGGACGGAAGAGATCCCCACCCTCATGGACTTAGCATTCCGGCAGGAGAGATGGACAGTGAACATGTAGGCAAATAAATATATAAGATATTTCCCCATGAGAAGTGCAATGACAGAAACAAAACAGGGTGGTGACATGGTGACTGGGCCAGGCCACTTCAGGAAAGGTGGTCGGGACTGACGTGAGGAGGCCGTGTGAGCTTAGGCCCAAAGGGTGGGCTAGAAGCATCCGTGCAGAGATGTGAGCAGGGGGCATTTGTGGCAGAGGGAAAAGTAAGCTTACAGATCATACAGAGGGATCAAGCTTAATATGGTGGAGGAAAGAAGATTTAGGTGATGGGGGCCTGCAGAGGAGGAGGAAAGGGGGGTGGGATGAAGATGGAGAGTTGCTGAGGGTCCAGGTAAAGATTGGAGTTTATTCCTAAAACGTGGGAAACCATTGAAGAGTCTTATATGGGAGTGAGTAGCTAGCACTACTTTTCAAATGCATGTGTCAAAAATTGCCAAGCATAGAACAAAAACATATCAAATTGGACCTCATCAAAATCTTTAAAATATGCTCATCAAAGACACCACTGAGTATACAAGTAGATAAGCCACAGACAGGAAAAAGATTGGTGGATTATATGCCTGATGAAGAACGTGTATCTAGAATATATGAAGAACCTCCTTAGGTTAGCAATGAACTCTCCCCTCCCTACCAAAGACTGCAGGCATAAGGGCCTGAACAGACAGTTCACAAAAGAAGGCATACAGATGGCATCAGGGAAATGAAGGTCAAAACCACAATGAGATATGATTTCACAACTACCAGACCAGTGAAAACAAGAAGACCGACAATACCAAATTCTGGCAAGGATGCAAAGTGACTGAAACCCTCATACATTGCTGATAAGCTTGTAAAAGGATACAGCCACTTTGGAAAAAGATATGGCCCTTTCTACTAAAGTTCAACATAACCTACCATTCGCCCAGCCACTCCACTCAGCTATTGATTCAAGAAAAATGAAAACATGTTGACAAAAAAAATTGTGTAGGAATGTTCATAGCAGCCTTTACTTCATCAAGGCCCCTGAGAGGAGAATGGACAAATAAACTGGTATATTCATACAGTGGAGTATTACATAGCAATAAAGAAAATGAACTGTTATGCACAAAAAGAGGGATGAATCTCAAAATCATACGTATCATATCATGTCATACAAAGTCCAAGAACAGGTACCACTAATGGATGCTGATAGAAATGAGCAGGTAGTTGCCTGGGAGGGGAGGGGAATTGATTCAGAGAGGAATTGGGAAGCTTTACCAGGTAAGGAAATGTTACTATACCTTGCTTTGGATCATGGTTATGTTAATAACTCATAAAAGTGCACACCTGATACCTGAACATTTTATGGTATATGAATTATACTTCAATTAAAAAACCCATGCTTTTTAAGAAGTGCATGTGCATCCTGCCTTGAGCTGTCAAGACATCTTGGTGAAATGCAGCTTCGTAGAAAGAGCCAGATTTGGAGTCAGACATACTTGGGATCCAGTCCAGCAGTCAGATGAGTGACCTTGGGAAAGTCACTGAGAATGTCCAGTTTCCACGTCTGCAAATAAAAATAATCTAATTCACAAGATGGCCATAGGATTAAATGAAAATCTGCTGTGAAAAGTGTCGAACTCAGTACCTGTCACCTGGGAGGTTCTCAATAAACAGCTATTTTAAAAAATGATTTTAAATAAACTGTAATCCTGGGGGACCCAACCCAAACTCTCTGTGGCTCTGCTTTGCGGATGATGCCATGTGCAACTGAAGGCAAAAATTCTAGAGCCAGGAGGAAAAACCGTAAAACCGTAAGTTAAAGAAATCACTGTACTACGTGAGAGAGCCTGTGGACGCAGATGGTAGCTGCAAATTACCTGCGATTATTACAGGAAAATCTGGCACCTTCTGTGATCATACTCAAATCTGTCATCATCCTGTTCTACCTCATCTTTTTCCAAATGTCAGAAGGGAAGGAAAGGCCATTTGGAATGGGGACTAAAATAAAACTATAATTACAGGAGGTGGTCAGCGTCAACTTTTCTAAAGGAACGCCCATTTTTATCTGTCCAGATGTCTCCATCACAGATTATTTATGCAGTTTGAGGACTAATCTGAAGTTTAGACTAAGAATGGAAAAGTAAGAATGGAATTGAAATGCACCTTTACCCTTACTGAGTGGTCTTCCATCCTTGCTGAATCATCTCCATTTCTCTGCCGGCTCCACCTCTGAGAAACAGCCCATAGGGCTTCATCTGGAGAGGCCACCCTGCTGCCCCCTCGGCTTGGCTTGAAGAGGGCTGAGCAGGCAGCACCTCCTTCTGTTCGGGGCTTTGTCCGGCACGTCTCCTTGGCCTACGGTAGACCCTCTCCCAGGCTGTGGGCCAAGAGCCCTGTTCTGGCTGCCCTTCCCATTGGCTGTTACAATAAGTTAGGTGAGGAGAAATGGGGGTTCAAGGGCGCCCTTGCAGGGAGTGCTGGCTTTCTCTGTGTGCTACTCAAAGAGGCAGACAGGCAGCTCCCCAGAAAACATCTTGCGGTGGTCTGTGACCATGCCGTCCCCAGCCCGTCATCCTCCCCCATGCGGGGCCGACCTGACCATCCTGACCGTCCCTTCCCTTCCCTAGAGCCCTTCTGGGAGGTTGGAAACTGGACACATTGCTCTGCCTCCTGCGGCCCCTTGGGAGTGCACGTTCGGAGGCCCCAGTGTGTGCTGGCCAATGGGCGGGAAGTGAGCGAGGCCTGCTGTGGCCACGTCCAGATGCCACTGGCTGGGGTCCAGCCCTGTATCATCCGGGACTGTCCTGTGAGGTACATGACGTCTCTCCTCTTATCTCAGTACCGAGTTGTTGCTTGCTTTGAGAGGCGCAGTAATTTGGACTTAAGAACTCAGCCACTGAGGTTTACTCAGCAGGATCTGTGTAGCAGGCATCCTGCTCACGCCTCCCTGTCCCCTGGCAGGTAGGTGCTGGTCGTTTCCTGCTTTACAATGGGAACGCTCCCTGAGGCCACATGGTTACAGAGGCCAGGATTGAAACTGTGCTGGTCTGATGCAAGCCCCGCCTGTGCTCACTGCCGGTACTTGCTTCCTGCATTCGCAGTGGTTTGTTCCTGAGGAATCCAGGGAAGTTGACCTCAGGGTTTGCCTAGGAGGTA